AATATTTTAAATAATTTCAGAGAACAAACACACTCGCAAAATTTACGATGCACCGCTTGAATTGCAATGCAAATGCAGATACAAAGTAATTTCCAGACGTCAACGATGTAACGCAAAATTCAGAATAATGGTAGAATCATTTTCAAACTTTGATAAACATTTATGCAGCGACAAATTTTAACGAATTTCAAATGTTACATTTCGTTGCTGCCAATGCGACAGAAGAAAATGGCTTGCGGTAGCATTAGCTTTGCGATTGCCAAGTGCCTAATGTGCAGCGCACGCATTAGCCGCTGAGGCAGCATTGCGTCGCTCGTCTAAATGAGGCGGGTCTGGGATGCAGGGACGGCAGACTGGCAATTCTGACCTGATGAGTTTTTAATAGAATATTCAATGGGACTTTCTAAAGATCTACGGGGACCTGGAGTAATTGGAACCGCCATTGCTTCATCAGGAACTAATCTAGCGTCAAGTGGACGGTTTGCTTCGACCCGTTCTGCAGAAAATGCGTGCGAACGGACAGGTTACTCGAATGCTGCATTTACTGCTGCTCTTGAAAATACGATCATTTATTTGCTCTTTTGTGCAAAAAAATTAATCAACTTTGAGTACTTGCACAATTTAAAAATAAATCAGTTTTTGGGATTAAGATTTTAATTGGAAGTCGTAGCCAGATGTTGTCGCAATTTTCGCATTCAAATGTCATCATGAAAAGTAATTTTAAATTGTGCATCTCTGAGCTCATAATGGCAGAAACTGCGATGTTTTCAGCGAATTGTTCAAAGTGCACGACCTTTCCGGCTGTAAACGGCAGTATTGGTGGTAAAGAGATCAATGATTCTTCTGCATTTTACATTCAACGTGTAAAATAGAACAACAAGAACGGCCTATCGGATGGCAATACAAAATTTATCGAATTATATCAGACAAAAACGGAAAGAATATGGAACGGTCTACCATAGACATGGCCAATATATACAGCATTGTGTATCGGGCAAAAATGCACCTACAGGTAGAACATCACTCAAACATAAGGTAGTTTAAAAGATGGAAACTTGAAAATTTTTTATTACAGTTGGGGGGCAGTATATGTAAAGGTCGTTGCGATAATGAATATTTGCGAGGGGAAGACGCCACACTATATGAGGAATGAGGAATTCGAACGAGATTCTTTTTAGACATTTCTTTGGACAAATTTCTTTGCCCTTGCGTAAATGAAAATTAATACGCAATTGCAGTACGCAATAAGTGTTGAAAAGTTCGTGCAATACGCGTCGCCTTGTAGAGACCTCATGCAGGCCTCTTTAACAGAAATTTTCTTCATTAGAGGCTCTTTTTTGGCCTCTGCGGCCTCGTGTGGCCTGGGCCTTGTGCTCAATTCATGGTGAACCACCATTTTACTTCACTTTATCTGTAACGGCTGTCTCACAACGTACTTCTTTTCCACGCAGTTTATCTGAACTCTATCAGTAATTGGCTGTCTAAAAATAGGCAGTTTCACCTCACTGTATAAGAAACTGCTGTTTCATAAGTACCGTTTTACGGTAGTTTCACTTCACTGCGTCAATAAAGGCTATTTAAAAATTGCCATTTCAATGCTATTTCACTGAGCTGAAACACGCGTAATAAATTCTATTCCGTAGTTAGAACGAACGAAATAATAATTCCGGCTCTGGAAATCTTCACTATAAATGAACGGCTTCACTATAAATGAGTCCAAAATAAGTTCGTGATGGTCTCATTAATATAAGATAAAACATAAAAGTGAATTTTCAGTAATAAATAGGGATTTATGTTCGTTGATACTTTGATGGTGATGATTTCATTTTCCTCTGCACTTGATGACAAACCTAAGCTCTATAATAATTTCAATCTTTCATAATTTAGTTGGGCGGCTGAGCAGCGCTTTATTTGTTCGCTTTCTGAGCAAACTTTTGCGCTCCTGAAGAAGTTCAAATTGAAACTCGGATCAAATCTTGCCCGTCGTCCTGCAGCTTTGATTTGTACGCGGATTTTGTTCCAAAGTTCGACAAGATGGCGAGCGGTAATTTTTTTGGCTTCTAGTCCTCGTTATGCTTGCGTATATACGGCATTAATATCCTCTTATTATTATGAAAGTCTGTCGGGAATGCCATCCGTTATTAATGTCTATAAAGACTCCTAAAGAAGACTCAGCTTTATTCTATTAAATTTATAATTGTTTTAATTAGTTTATTCTCTTAAGCTTTTTTGCTTTGCCTTCGAGGCGCTCTGGTCCAGCATTCGTTAAAAGTTTGACCTTTTTTTTTTTTGAGGCTGAAAAAAATTTTAATATTCAGCCTCAGGAGATTGACATTTTGCGTCGATCTTCGACGAGGTCGGAGATTTGTTTTGCAGGCTGTCCGAGAGAGCGGAACTCTCACTGATCGACGGATCATGAGAAGAGCCTTTTTTAAGATTTTGAGAAGCAATTTTTATCAGTTAATTTGATAATTAAACAAATATATAGTGTAAATGAAGCATAAATGTTTCTTTGTACCCAGAAATCACAATAAATGCTTAAAATAAATTTCTGCTCTGAAATATGATGCTGAACGTTTAAAGGCGCCATATCTGACACGCACATACAGTACATGAATGGATAGCCTGATATTTCGCCAAGTGTTAAACATGAATATTAATGTATGAGACGTGCATAAAGGTACGGAAATGCAACATAACTTTTCAGCTACATAGCCATGATTGTATGATTAGGAATTAATAGCACAGCTTGGAATTCGTATATATGATAGTAATCAATGTTAAGCGACCTGCAACATTCAACCATCAGATCGGAATAAATTTGTTATATTGTTCTAGTGGAGAAGTTCAAACTCTCTAACTAATTAATTCCCTTTAGCGTCTTACAAACAATTCCGCCTATCTAATTACTTGCATTTTTGTTCCAAAGAACTCCTTTGAAGCTTGGACTCTGTTTTACTGAGGCAAAACTCAAATAATTGCATCCTATTTTTCTACACAATATAAATTCATGTCAACTCTTATAATTCTTCTTCAATTTTTCAATTTTAAGCAAATCATTATGCACAGAAAATAGAATGAATTCTTGTTTGCTAATACTTTCAATGAGAAAGTTTGTCACTATTTGGAGATTATCCCTCATTCATTTTTTTGCATCTAGCGTTGTACGTGGCTTCAATGGGCTCGTGAAGCGTTGCATCAATACATATGTGGTGAGGTGAACATGTCCAGTCTTTACTTGGAAAAATAACACGACTCAGAATAATGAATGAGCTATGTTATACAAATAGCGACATGCTTAAGTTATGTAAATTTAAAGATTGTTTCAGCTTCATTGTTATAGTTTTATTACTGATTGGCAATTGCTTTAATTTAGTCAGGTTGTGACAGCAGCGTCTTAGGCTTTACTAGGAGTTTTCGCGTATATAAGTTCTCGTATGAAATAGGTTACGGCAAAAATCGTACAGAGAGAGGGTTGCAATGGAACACTGAAATGTTTAACATTAAACTATAGTTTACTATACTATACTATATATATAGTATTTAAACTATATACTATGTAATATTACTATAGTTTATTATTAAACTTGAATATTAACATATTCAAGTTCATATCCTACGTTGACTAAAATTTCTAGCACAGGAAAAGGACTAATCCGAACACAATCAGAGTTGAGAGTATCTCAGTTTGCATCATTCAAATATCCTACTTTTACTAGAAAACATGACTCGTTGCATATCCGTTGGGTAATACAGCTGTCGTAAACGACCGTACTTCACGCGCACGTTCGCGGCCGTATTTCCAGCAGCCGTACCGCAGCCGTAGTCGCGCTATTGGCGCGTTCGCCTTCCGCAGTTGTTCTTTCTCCATAGCAATCGTGTCTCGCTGATATAGATGTCTCACGGTCAGTTTGGCCGTAAGTTGTTTTATAGCGACCGTACTGCTGAATAGTGGCGTTGTCTTCATCGTCGATGGTGTCACTCCATCGTGACACCATCGTGATCGTGACCGTACCGCCTCTAACGATGACTGTGACCGTATCGTGTTGATGATCGTACCGATGATAATTGTTGCGCAGTGCTCGAAAACTTTAATCTTCTGATCGCTTAAGTTATAATCGTTGGACGCCTTGTTGTCTCTCGTGTCTCACGGCTAAGTCACAACCGTAGCAATGATATCAACCGTACGAATGTGGCGAAATCATGGCCGTTACGCGTAGATTATTGGCGAGGTTATATCGGAGTCGTAAAGTTTCACCCGACCGTTATTTCTCGACCCGTCTGCTGACGGCTGGGGCCGTCACACACATCAGCGGAGATTGTTGCAGACCGTACTGGCGTGACGGTTACCAAAATTAATATAACAACTTTTTGGCGCGAATTTTAGGGTCACCGCTCCAGTTTCCAGTTCCACGAGGGTCAGCCCTTTCAATACCCTCGGCCATTCCGAACTATATACAAACTCGCGCTCACGGTTTTCCACCCCAACTTTGCAGCCAAGCCACATCCAACCTGTAATTGCCTAACATCGTTCGGCGCGTTTCTTCGCAACTTTACAAAAGTTATGCTTACTATTAAAATGTAAACTAAAGCTAGAACTACCAACGCTGTATTCACACGTACTCACTATCCGGATCACTGATAGTTACACCATTTTTTGATCATGATTACCCAAACAATGTCAAAGAGTTCATTAATTAATTTAGACAAAATTTCACGAATTTACTTAGTGTAGGTAACATGAGAGTGTGCAAAGTGCCACGTATCATTATGATATGTTCGGTCTTCCGTTCTTCTCAAGTCAGCGCATCATATAATGTAGCGAAACAGAGAGTAACTATCAGATATACGCGCCCGAACATTTCACTGTATAGCTCTCATGTTGTCAGTTCACTCAGGCATCGATGACAAGGCCAGCTGGTGCGTAAATTGTACTCATTGCGCAAGCTTGGATGCGGGTCAGCGAGATGAGTAGAGGCGAAGCAGTGCATGTGTAGGCTTGTGACCCGACACAGTGTTTGTTCTGAGCCTTATTGTGATGAGCTTCAAGACAAGAACAATGGCAGGTTATGTAGCGTTTGCATGTCGTGTAGTGGACTTGTAGAAGGCAGATAATTCAAAAAAATATTCAAATTGCAGTATAAATATAACAGGATGAAGCCTCAAGGTCAGTGGGCTAAACAAACTTTTGGTGAGTACAACAGTTACAACTAACAAGCGACTCGTGCACATCTACTAATCGCTGAACAATCATTCACTCCCTACCATTCCACCATTAAAAAGATTCGCCCATCAATTGTTACAAATTTAAAGGAGTGCCATTGATTTAGCATCTTTTTTGTCACTTTTTTTTTCTCTTCTACGCCAAGTCCACTGTTCGGTCATTCATAAAGCGCCGCCTGCCGATTTCGATTATCGGGTGCTTGATAATCTGATCATTATAAAAGTATTAATGCAATTATAAGAAAAACTAATTTCTCACGCATAAAATGTATGTGGGGATTAGCAGCCCTGTAATACCAACCGATGATGTTTGTGATGAGTTCCAATGAATGCGCGATTGCCTTATAAACTACAATAATATACAGTAATGTTAGAACTGTTCACAAACTTTAATGAATACCAGGTAGAAGTAGCAGAAAAAGCAAAAAGCAAAAAAAAAGAACGATCGTCACACATAAGTTCCATTAATTTTAAAGCTAAATTATGCGAGAAAAATATATATGCGCGTCACAAATTCTCGAATTCAGACTTTATCGTCTGTCATCGCCCACGCATCATAAACTGGCCATCATGCACAACTTGTGCGTCGTTTTGACTCTGAATTCCAAAGTTCACGCTAAAAATCTGTCATAATTTGTTACGTTCTGGACATAAGAAAAGTTCTCGGGCTGGAAATGGATCTATAAATTATCTAGTTTGAAATTCCCATGTGTGCCTTCTGCGTCTCAGGCAAAATACCTATACAGCGATCGATCACGTAGCTATTCGTATTGCATCACGTGCAGTCCTAATGGAACACGCGCGAACCCCCAGGCGGAATTTAGAATACGGTTGCATTACGGATACGGTTGCATTATGTCGAGTAAATGTTAAAAACGGAATAATTTTCTTTAATAATAGGTAATAAAGACATTAGAATAGAAACTCCTGTGAAAGAACCGTGGAGAACATGAGCGTCAATCGGTTTATGGGCAAGTTGGACTAAGCCCAATAAATTTTTTTAAATTCAAGTTAATATTGACTGGTTTTGTGATAATTCATTTAAACTTAGACCCAGACCACATTATACTGAATTTTCCGCAAATAAAAATGATATTGTTAATTACTGAACAAATAATTATTTAAGGGGCTTGAGAATATTTTAATTTCAAAAATATGCCCAATGACTTCACTTTTGGAGAAACAGTAGTAGTAAATCAGCTACTAGAATTTCTGGACATGATTTTACCTACAAATGAATGTCACCTTCTTCAACCTTAGTTCTTCGGGATCATTCTGCGAAAAAATTTGCGTGGTGTTATGTAGTATCAACAAGTTACCGTAATTTTAATCCTAAAAAATTCATCTTTCTTTTATCGATTCAAATCTCAACAAAATAAGCTCAGCGACCTGAACTTAAATTTTGAAATTCCCCATCCATGAATACAAAGGCTTTTGTTTGGCAAATAAAGGATGTGAGAAGAAGTAAAACTGCGGTCTGCTGAGGGCAAGTAATCTGCAAAGCAAATATTTGACCGACGCCGTAGGGAGTTCCAACATCGTATCACTAAACGCTTGAGTCAAATAGAAATGTTAACACACGAACTTTCCAATAAGAGTTCTGTTGTAAGACTGCCGCTGGAAATCAAACTTTGATTTTTCTTTTCATTTACGCGAAGGCTAGCTATGTAGAAAGTTTACAAGAACTTTCGGTGAGGTATTATGTCAATCATACAAAGTGTCCAAGAAACTTTTGAGCCTTTATTTAACGCAGGAGATTATTCAGCTTTTTCCTTTCTTTGCACACGCGCGTAGCAGCGGCGCAGAAGAAGCGCTGACGATGGCGAGCGTCTCAAGAGGCTCTTGCAGGTCGGATTTCGCTGCCCTGAGGCCACGGCTCGTGTTACTCGGTAGCATGTTTACGTTGCCATGTTGTGTTCTCAAAGAAAATTCTATGTGTTCTCAAAGAAAATTCTGTGTGTTCTCAGAGAAAATTCTGTGAGTTCTCAAAGAAAATTCTGTGTGTTCTCAGAGAAAATTAGGTGAGTTCTCGGAGAAAATTCTCTTCTTGAAACTTTTCAAATAATGCGCTCGCGTTCTTCGAGCCAGCATATTAATGGATGTAGCAACGCTGGTAGCAAAAGAAAAACATTGTATAAAATCTAAATTAGTATATTATTCTTTCCAAGCGAGTTATTATTTCACATTTATATTCCTGCACTTCTCACGAATAAATTTCCTCTGCAGGCTCTGTTCATGAAGACAAAATAAATAATACTTTACGCAGGCGACTCTCATTACCCGGGCGGACAGAAGAGAATTTGCTAGGCCGACACGTAATTCAACTCTGCACGGGTCCCAGGAAAATAACCTTGATAAAATGGCCAGAAACACGGCGGGTCTCAGGAATAAGTGTCACCTCCCCGGGGAGTGTTCCTTAAAAGCCTTCATTTGGAAGCCGTAAACGTTTACGACGGCACGATGTCCTCGCCGTATACAGTGCCCATCGTCTGACCGTGTGAACCACAAATGATCCCTCACAACGTGAGCTCGTAAATGATTCTTATTTTTGTTAGCTATTACAATCAAGAAGTAATAATTTGTCTCGCTGTCTTCTGGCGGGGAAATACTCTGGTCTATATTAGTTTTAAAAATGCTATACAATGCTAAATTGTCGCAGTCGTAACGTCAATCATGTATTACAAATTTCAGGATTCCATCGTTACAGACGTTCATACTCAAATTTAAAATTACCCCCGCACACTATAAATTCACGTAATATTATCACATGTTAATTATTTAGCTACATTAAATGACGCTTGCAGGTAATGTGCCATTGCTGAAAGCAGCTCTTCAGGTTGTTACACAACTCGCTTTCATATTTAAAAATGGAACGCAACGTTGCAACAAGCCAATGCTGATCCCGCCATCGATATCCGGTTGGGATGCGCGTCACGATTCCGGTATCTCCATCAACGGAAATCAGCGGCAAACATTTGGGCGAGACTTGCATAGCAATTGACTTTATACATAGGTTTACGTTTACTGAGCGTCACGAGACTTGCGGTGCCAATGACACACTAGGTCCACTCAGCGTCACGAGACTTGCGGTGCCAATGACACACTAGGTCCACTCAGCGTCACGAGACTTGCGGTGCCAATGACACACTAGATCCACTCAGCGTCACGAGACTTGCGGTGCCAATGACACACTTGGTCCACTCAGCGTCACGAGACTTGCGGTGCCAATGACACACTAGGTTGACTCAATGTCACGAGACTTGCGGTGCCAATGACACACTAGGTTGACTCAACCTCACGACGTCACGAGACTTGCGGTGCCAATGAGACACAAGGTTGACTCAGTGTCACGAGACTTGTGTAAAAAAACTGCTGAGTCAGGGAATGAATATACTAGAGTGGAAAATTATATCGACCTCCCGGTCGATATAATTTTCATTCTGAGTGTGTGTGTGTATCTGTGTTTTTTTTTTTTGTTATCTCGACATGCAGCGACTACCTTGGAACGACACGGCTTTACGATTCACAATTGACCATAAATCAGCCACGGTCAAGATTTCATCTATGCTTCAGCTTCAAGCACAACAATTTGCACGCTAATTTATTTAAAGACATCATTCGCATCTCTCAATACAACCATAAAACAGCACAATACTTTAATTGAATATTGTAAGCGTTGCAAATTCATGATAACTCTAAATTCATTCATTATAGTTCAACCCATTTCATAGCAGGATAATTGAAGTTGCTAAAACGTTCTTGCTCGCAATAATTTTTTATTATTATTTGATATCACTATAACAAGCGTGAATTTCCCGATCCCAGCTGCTCCTCTCCATGAAACCGCATGATCGTCTTCATATCCACACCTAAAACTTTACTGGACCAAGGATTTTCATGAATATGCAAAAAAAAACATAAATGCCTAAATAAATTATAAAATACGTAAGTTGAGCATGCTTGCCTAACTTATCAAAATTTATGTTTCATTTGTGCTTTTATTTTTAAAATTTTAGTTCAAGTTGTAGAGAAAAAAGTTTCAGATACGAGAATCGATGCCTTCCTGAAATGAATAAAATAAGGCTAAAATTTAACTAGCCTAAAGTGAACGTACGGAATCAACACCCCAAAAATAATCAAATATACACAACAAGATAAACTATCAATAAACGTCACAAATATTATCACGAATTACTCTAGAAACGCACCTCCGCGGAAAGACCACCTGAAACCAACCAATGATGGTTATTCCGCACTACCAGTCGAAGTCATATTCAAGGGTGATTGAAAATTGAAGTTTTATAAGTAAAACATCGTGAACGAAGTCATGTCCCGTGACGTCCGTGGTGACTTGAAACTTAAACAAGTGCTTAAAAGTATAGCATCGTGACCATCTACAACTATAATATAAAGGTTATATCGGTGTCAATGTATTTGATCCGGTGTAAGTGTAATAATAATTAACAAACAGTTTAATCACTAGAGGGTTTTAATGACTACGTCTCTGGCATAAAGACGTCATTCGGAACTAAGCTCTTCAATTCCAACGCGACGGTGACAGAAAGAGCTGCCGGTGTTTCAAACGTATCTGTTGGTAGCAGCCAGTCAATTGCAGTGGTTTGAACGTGAGCTTAAATGCATTGAAATTAGAATTGTTATCAGCCTCGGAGGCGTCGCATTTAGCTCCTGAAAAAATATTAGCTTCCGCTTATTGAGGCAACTTAAATGCAGAGTACGAAGGTTCTTTGGGACATTTTGATCTTTGTCACTGCATCCAATTCTGTGAAATCTATTATCAAATCCTATTATTAGTGCGAGCAACATTGAGACTCGACAGAATTGGTTTTATCTTGTGAATAGTAAGTACATAAGTCTGAGTTTTAGAGACTAATTAAAACCACAAAATATCCAGATGTTGTCCAGGAAATATGCAGATGTTGTCCAGGGAACATCCAGATGTTGTCCAGAGAATATCCAGATGTTGTCCAGGATATATCCATATGTTGCCCAGGAAACGACTTATTAATCACAAAGACCAGAGCTACCGTGTCATACGCAATTAGCTCTTAGTTAGTTTCCTTCCACTTGCTGTGGTGGTCACTTTTTCCTGTGTCCTCGTGCCGGACACTTCGCGTCGCCTCCGTATCGTTATAAGTTCAGACGGCGATTGTTCTAGGTACTCGTATACTGTCTTTGCTCCGAGTTCCGCACAAAAATAACTGGTTGTTTCATTAATTGTTCTCTACTTTCTATTTCTCATCCGCAACTGTGGTCATATATTTCGCTGTGTTACTTCTTTACACTGGAAATTTGAATTTTAAATCGTTTCCGGTATGAGGTGCTTTTGAATTTATAATAACTATTCGTTTTAGCTTAATTTCACGTTAACTTACACATAGATTTTCCATAAAACCACTTTTAGCCAAATTATTTGGATTAAATTTGTATTGCAAGAATAAGCGTGCATGAAATCTAATATTTTAATCGACATGAACTTTGAATTTTTAAGTCAGGTTCTCGTGCGTGTGAGACACGAACGTGCGTGTTTGTGCGTGTCAAGGAAGCTTGACGTACACTGCATCACTCAACCCTTTTATCTTCTCTTTTTATAAACAAAGCATTAATTGATAATGAACCTAAGGTTCCTTTATTAATGTCTTAACTGTGTTTCTCGATAATTTATGTGTCCAGTCACTATGATAGGTTGTATATGTTACGTAAGAAATGGAATGCAACGCACAAAACAAGACCTCAGCCAACAAGTACAAGTTTCCTATCTATCGTGTCACTCCGGATGTTAGATCTCTCGTTTATTTTTGTTTACTATCAGCGATGATAAATATTATCGAGTTGTTATCATAAAAAGCAGCAATAGGCCCATTTTTGCCTGACTGTAATTATAGTGTCACTGTAAACTTTTCAGGACTAGTATACAGACTGCGCGACAAGGGCCTATACGGCAGAAGCAACACTTCTCTCAAAATTTGTTCACTTAAAAATTGAAAATATTTTCCGACCTTCATTTTTTACGCATCAGTTTATTGACGCCGACAACCATGTACTCGCTCCTGCTTTAGACCATATAGCTTTGTTTTGTCAAGGTTTGAAGTATTAATTATATTTTTATTCAATAAATAACCTTTCGTAATTTTGAGGTAAAATCTCCCTGTTAAATTGCATAAACCAACAATTCACCTACTAAAGTTAGAATCGGTTGATGTGCTGTAAGGCTATTCCTACCCGAACCATTAATCGATCAAACAGTGTCGGTATAATTAAGCACGAAGTGTTGGTGCCGACAATACGCGTGTCGAGCGATCAATCACTTCTGCTGCGTCTGATAAAAGTGTTAGATTAAATTAGTTTTAGCAGAACAAGACGTGTGGTGTGACGTGAGTCTCGTCAATTATACCATCACGATGACACTCAAACGTGAGTACTCGCTTATATCGTTCTTTTAGTTACATGTACATGTGCAATTGTATCATTTTAGTTCTTATTAAACAATCTTCTGGTTTTAAAAACAACTGAGCCCATTTAATATGTGAGAACAATATTGTACAGTACAATGTTTTTCCCGGAAAGAACTGGAGCGGAAAGCTGTGGCGGCCTACTTCTCATTTGATGCTCGGTCTTATTAAATTCCAGTCGTATAAGAAGGTGTCGTCATATTAATTAGATGAGCGATCTTACCAAATTCCGGGCGCATAAAAAGCAATGGTTTTTCAATATGTTAAATTGTGCTTCGAACGCTTTGAGAGGAATTAATTCGATTCTAATCTCTCTGGAGACCAGGACGCCCATGTCGTAAAACTTCAATCACCGGCCTTACAAAATAGTTCTAGGTAATCCTTAATTTTCATCAGCGGAAATTCTTTCAATTCGTTAATTTACTATTTGCTGGGATATCATCCTCCTTTAACAACAATTTCAATGTAATAGTTTAATTCAAACAATCGGCCTTTTATTGCTTAACAAGGCCTACAAATATCATTATTGACACAACATAGAGCAAGGGAAAACATCCATTGCATTCAGCGGATAAATGTTGCTATCGACAAAGGTTCTCGAGAAACTTCCTCGCGTCACCGGCACGCATTCGAATTCGATATCAGGTTATCTAGAAACGATTGCTCTCAATTCGTCTTCATTAGAAGTTCAAAGGACAGAACATTACTGAGAAACGCTGGGTGCAACCCAGAACAAATAGGTTTAGGTTCACAAAGCCTTCTGGGAGTAGCCGACAAATGATGCGATCTTATTTTCCGTTTATTGTAAAGACGTTTATATAATGACGTTCTTAGCGCCCCTTGAAAAGAATATTTATTCGGTTTCAGATATAACACTCAATAACCTTTTTCATAACGCTTCCACAATGATAACAAATATCTAGTAAATATTGTGTTCGAGTAGTCTTGTAATCCATTAACGAATGATTAATGATGATCTTCAATAATTAATCGAGAAATTTTGGTGGCCTGTATTTGACTTAACATCAACAGAGACTGAAATTGTCATCAAACCAGATAACCATACTGGCGATGTTAAGACAACAATGGATGCCAATAATAACATCCTGTATAAGCTTACTGCCGTTAGAGTTAAGAGCGGCCCGCTGTGACCATCAGTACGGTCCGCGTAATTCGAGATTGTTTCAAGCTAATCGAATATTAATTGTGAGAGAAAAGCTCATAAGTCAAATTTTGTTTGTAGCCATACGTCTTCAAATTTGCTAATCTCTCAAAATATTCAAGTCTTTATTCCATTCACTTCGTCTCGTATCGCTACAGGATATCTTCTACCGTTTGGATACGCCCAGTTTTGTTTTTTCTGTTTTGAAATGTTTTATAATATCTGGAAAACAGTTTTTGAATTCCAGGACACAATTATTGTCGCACTTTATTACTTCATTTTTAGAAATTTTTCTTTTATGTCTATTAATTTTCTATCACGACTTATTAATGTTGTGCAGTGACGGAGCTCGTAATGAAGCACAAGGCGACGAGGCGGCCTGAGTGCTGCCGCTGCCTCCGCGTGCCCGGCGTGTACGCCATCCTGCCTCACTGCCACCATGCCTACTGCATACCCTGCCTCACACACTCCTGGCGCTGCCTCACGCCTCACACCAGGTACCCTGCCTCACTGCCACCATGCCTACTGCATACCCTGCCTCACCCACTCCTGGCGCTGCCTCACGCCTCACACCAGGTACCCTGCCTCACTGCCACCATGCCTACTGCATACCCTGCCTCACACACTCCTGGCGCTGCCTCACGCCTCACACCAGGTACCCTGCCTCACTGCCACCATGCCTACTGCATACCCTGCCTCACACACTCCTGGCGCTGCCTCACGCGCAGCACCATATATCTTATTACAAATAGTTAGGCTACATTTCATTAATCTATTTCAGGCGTAAGTCGCAATCAAGACAGATATCTATTTTATCTTAATGTTCTTCTTACAATTGATTTCTACTACTAGAATATTTTAATTATTTTAAAATTGACGCTGTTTCAGCTATACATTAAAACAATGCAGTTTTTTAAAGCGCTCAATGGTCTGATGTACATGCATCTTATTTGCAAATTTTATTCGTATTGGATCGATTATGTTATTTCTAACCTGTAAATAAATTAACTTTCTTTATATAGAACAAACTTTCTTATAAACGCAGTTTTTCAGCAAAGATATTTAAACTATTCCTCTACCTATATTTTGCTCTATAATTTCATTAGACGCTTTTGCATGCAATGTTCCCCTAAAATTTCAACCATTATCCCTTTACCGCAAAATCTGACTTTCAAGTCGCCCTTAAAAAAAACACCGGTTTTCTAAGAATTTCTCGTTTTCTTTCATTTTTTTTCGAAAAATTCACACAAACAAAAAAATCTTAGATTTAATTTTTACATTTGATACCAAGTTTCAAAGTTATTTGTCTGTAAATAACCGAAATAAAATTTTCAATTTCCAATTGAAATTTCCAATTTCTTGTGGAAATTTTATTTCGGTTACTTGCAGACGGATCACTTTGAAACTTGGTACACATATGTAAAAAATAAATTTAAGACTTTTTGTTCGTGTGAATTTTTCTAAAAAATGAAAGAAAACGTGAAATTCTTAGAAAACAGCCAAAAAGGGGGTACTGTATAAATCTATCTCCTTCTAGGGCTTTCAAGCAACAACATCGAGACGCTTACCATTCGATGCGTAAGGACCATATTTATCAATTGGTCCTTTCTGTTTTTCGAAGTTCTAATTTTTGTGGGTGGGGTGAGAATTTTTCGGAAAAAATTTGACCCCCACCCTAGCCACCGCTGCTGCAGTACGAGGTAGGTGTTCTGCTGTCTCCGTTGCTGCAGTACGAGGTGGGTGTGCTGACGCCACATTGGTGCAACAAACACATCTAACATGTGTATGCACATGTACGCCATCGTTAAAACAAATAATCCCTAAATACTATACATATTGCACTTGTACCAACTCTATGATTGCTCAGGGCCGTCAAAGGTAAATTATTCACAGCGTCTTGCACAAATTTTATTCACAACGCAAAATTTGCATTGCAATTACGCGGTCCACATCTATTCAACGTACAGAGCGTCGCTCGCACTCGCCGTCTCAACAGCTTGGTTTGATGCAAGTATTCGTTTGCGGGGTCAGTGTAGCTGTGAAAGAAACGAGTTACTCGCGGCTTCCAAAAAGTGTTTCATTTTCAGTCTGAGGTATTATTTTTTCGCAGGCAGAGCAGCAGGTCCTGCTCACGATTATTTTTGCCTCTCAAAACGCAATTGCTGTCAAGGCTTGCTCTCAAAAATTCTGAGTAGTGCCTAGAATTTGAAGGAATCATGTTTGTTTATTCTGAAGAACATCTTTGCATCTCTGTTTAGAAGATTTTTTTCTCTGTGATCTCTTCTTTGTATGTTCTACTGATTTCTTCTGTAGTTTTATCACGAACATATATTGTGAAGACCGGTATATGAAGAAGCTATTGGTATTTTTCCTACGAAAATTCTCCTCCACATTTCTAAAAGTAACTCACTGCACAGTGCACAGCCATGACATCAGTAGATCGCTCATATAAGTCTAAATTCCGCTCCTCCACAGATATTTTTTTCATCCTGAGACAATGTGCTATTCTTTTATTGGAGTTATCCACAATATTGTTTTAAATCATCATTTCCCTCGTACAGGGAAGACATCCCGACAGTGCTGCGTCACCTCACTGCCAGGATGACCAAACCATGAAGACAGTCTCGAATGTAGCTGCAGTCGTCGTCATATGCAATCGAGAATCGTTCTCAGTTCACCTTCGGAGGTTCAATATATTCCTCCTTCATTTAAGAAATAACAGAATGAAATTTACTATGCTGTTGTTCAAATGCATACGAGCGAACAAAATTCAAACTACATTTATTAATTAATCGTATAAATATTTGGAAATGTTTGTTTTTGTCAAGCCTACCGCCGCTAATGTATAGAAGAAATTTAGGCGCGTATCCAGGATACTTATCATGTCGGGATATTACCAGGACCAGAAAATATATTACTAGTGAAAGAATTATTGTAAGGCATTTCAGAACGGGGGCCAATGGATTGGACCAGAATATGAAATTTAATTGGTTCATTCATTTTATTTAAGCGGTGCAAATCTTTTTAATGGTTTACAACGAGAGTCAAACCAAAGTTTCATCTTCCATGTAGAATTATGTGTAATAGGTAGTTATTTAATTATCCTGTTATTTTTTATTATTAGTAATATTATTTGGCATATGAATGACAGGATTCGGGATAACGCATACCGCCGCATGGGAATCGCCGTAATCCAGTGAGTCCAGGGTGGTGACACAGTCTTCCAATAAACTAATTTATTTAGTAATTATCGTGTCCCTCGTCATAATCGTTGACAAGTTTAGGGTAATTTTGTCGTTTGGATTTTTCTTGTGTATCTATGGTATGATACAATATTGACCCCGGATTACCATGATGCGCTTGATTAATGTTAGCTGCAGCTTGCAGCTAGCCTTACACGCTCAGTTAAATTATTTGCATTTATTTATTTAATGTTATAGATTTTGTACAGATATCTAAATAAACTCCTACCATTGTTGTTGCCATCGTTATTCGCTGCATTGTGACATGAGCACGCCAAGAGAACCGATTGGGGGGTGTGACGACCATGACCTTGTTGTTGATGGTGGTCTCCGCAGAGTGGGATGGTATCACCCCGCGAAGGCGGCCGTCTACCAAGACAAGGTCACGAAAAGACAGAAGCAAGACCGCTAGATCACATTCAAACATTTTTCTCCAGGAGAAGTGGAGACATGTGGGAAAAGTGGATGATGCGTCTGGAGGGCGGCGGGGCGCTAGTCTGGAATTGCTAGCCAATGAGATTCAGGCGGTAGGCCAAGGGGGAGGAACCTTGTTTTAGTGTGCAGGTGATCAATGGTTGCCATCTTCAAATGGGGGCTGCATCGCCCCTATTTGGACACCGGCACTTCTATTCTTTTTTAGTTAAATTGTGAGATGCATGGGGTAACGCTAACGAGGGAGAAGTTGGGGGGGGCGAAGGAGGCTGGGTTTCAGGGAACGCAAATGCAAGGACCGAGGTGAATCGCAGACCGTACAAGGGTTGAGTGCCAGAGTTAGGATGAATCCCTTATAGCGACGGGAAGCAGTTAGAAGAGAAGAAGGCTTTGGGAATTCGAGCGAGCGAAAGTTTTCTCACTGAAATAGAACATCGGCTAAAGAGAAAGATCGAGGGCCAAAGTAAGCCAATGTCTTCCGACTTCAGGCAAGCAAAAACGCACGACGTTCATCGAAAGAGGTGTCGACGGGGAACCTCTGCTGTTTGGGCAGCTGCGAAGCCCACTAGAGACAACCGGCAGCACGGCTGGGATACTCCCACAGCGAAAAAGCGGCAGAATTCGGAGTCAACTCTATTATTCATTCATGAAGTAGTCCTTTTAATTAATAAATATGTGTTATTTTTAGGGCAGTGGGTGAATTTTATTTTTAAAAAGTTCCTTCGTACCGTTTATTAATTAAGAGAAGAAAAATTTTTAATGTTTCCGTAACAGGGATGATCATCGATGTGAAAAATTATGTATCATTCGGAGAATTCGAGCAATTAAATTCGTATTCCTCAGGATAACTGGTTTTTCATACTTTTAAATAAGAAGTTTATATATGAAGATTTCAAAGTAATTATTGAATGTCATATCCAGCAATAGTGGAACCCGTCTGACATGACCACAACGATATGGCAATTCATATGATGCTAGAGAGCTGTTCAGTATATATCAAATTAGTTGCTTGAATTATGTGTGAGCTGTCGGCGGTCTATAATTGGTCGACCTTTCAGATACAAGGGTGCATTAAGGCAGAAAAGTGATTGTGAGGCATTATCCGATTATTTTCTAATTGCTTGAAATGTCCCATTTTCCTCCCATTGCTGGTTGCCAACTTGCCATGTGTGCTATTCTGACTTTCTGAGCCATCATCGGCATCATTGATCATTCATTGTCATTTTATATAACCCTTGCAAAAACATTCTGCTTTGAATCATTATCAATGTTTGAAAATATGTCTGGGTTTCGTACTTAGGCTACTAGCTAAATTTTTATGGAAGTAGGGGTGTAGTGTTAAGACATTTTGCGACTTTCATTTTGTAATAAAATTATGATTTAGGTACCTTTACCTTGGCAACACCGGTAGGAAGTTAACGTCGCGCACAGAATTTTCTCGTTAGTCATTATTGTTCGGCTGATCCCCGCTGCAGGTTAGTTTAAGCTCTAATAGGTTCCTTTTTATTGTAGCTGACGCAATACGACTCACGTTTCGAATATTGCCACACACAGTGACGGAATATAGGGATTTGGTAGGTTTCCATTCTAAAGGCTTTTTAATAAATATGGCAACATTTTGTGACGTTTCATTGTTGCTGACGCGTAGGCCGGTGTTTTGTGAGTCACTCTGGAATACTTGGTGGTAGAAGTAACATAAAATTGCGAATAAAAATTATTGTTTCACATGTGATTTTTGAAGAATTTCAGGTGTAAGTAAGTCATTTTCCTTATTTTTATTTGATGAAATTAGGGAAACATCGCAGTAACGGGCGAACTTTGCTTGATTCATGGCCATTGTTTTCCAGTTCACTGATGGCTTATTCCCAATTTTCACTTAGGCTTGTGACCCAATAATTTCATCCATTTTTATGGCTCTTCTTGAAGGAAGAAATTGTGAATAAGAATGAATGAACCAGACCATAGTACCCATGCTTGTGAGCTTGCTTTCAATTTGACCCAGTAAAAGATCCATGTCATTTGACTAATTTATCCAGAAAAAAATTAAGAAACAGAGAACATTCTTGCCTGCAATTTTTGAAAATTCCTATGAAACAATCTTTTCAAATTGACTGCAATCATGCATGCCATATACTGTATCTACTTTCTGAGCTAGCATTTATGTAAGTTTTCTCCTATTTTTTGAAGCTGCAAATCCTGTGGCTTGAGATTTCTGCTAGATGAATTATTTACATGCTAATTATTAACAAAATTTTTACAATCAAGCCATGAGATTTCAAAGGCATGAAAATAGGTCATTTGGAGCCATAAGGTTTGAGTTCTAAGTAGAAATTTTCAAATCTTGCTGAATAGTCAATTTCATGGTACTAATGATTTGTATAATAATTATTTAATTCATGAATATCAGGCAGCTATTTCAGAAATATTGCAGACAAAAATGTGCCATTTAAAAATCTTTTTACTGAGGAAATTAATCAAGGGCCAAACAAGTAAGATTGATGGTAACTTGGTAAGCATGGGCATTTTTGTTTCATTAACAGGTGGCTTCTGCCCAATTATCCACTTTTGATAATAATCTTGCAAGATTACAAATTTTCTACTTAACAACTTTTGTGGGTCCAAAGTGATAACAATTTTTGATTACTTGAGAATCTTGCGGCTGGATTTTAGTCAGCAATTAGATAAGACATAGTTTATCTGGCGGGAATCTTGTGGCTCAAAGAAAAAGCATGAAAGCTTATTCAAGGCAGAAATGGGGTTCAAACAAAGTTCTACAATATGCCATGCATCATGTGACAAATAGTGATTCTAAGTGTGGAAAATATATAGATTGAATCAAATAGTATATGTTAGATTTTATTAAAACAAATATTTTGCTTTGAGTAATCACTATGGTCTGATTTTTATGGAATGTGTGATTAGAAGAAATTCATAAGCCTATTGTATGCATATTTATATATCACCATGAGACATGGGAGCAATTATTGTGCCTTGCTTTACAGACTGGATTTTATTGGCAGTATACATGTTGTAAGTTACAATATATATGCCTACTGTATATAATGTTTGAAACTAGGAATTCAACAGCTTGTAATTTTAAATTTATCTCTGCATATAACTCCTGAACATTCTTTCCTTCTAATTTCTTACATTCTATAGTGATAAAAAATCCAAAATGAGCAACAAACGGAAAGCGCTCACATTCAGTGACTCAGACAGTTTGGATTCAGCTTCAGATTCTGTAAGTAATAATTTATTGCCTTAATACTCCTAGGTGTAGGATAATTTAGCTGATATAATTTTAAAATAAAAATGAATTTAAATATGTTCTGTTTTTGAGCTCTTGTGAATTATCTGAGAGCTGTGCTGTTATACTAAAGTAACTTCAACTCCAATCTGTGGCTCTGAATTCATGTGTTTTGTTCACAATTCAAATTTCACAGATCATTAATGTGGTGTTATTATCAACTGGAGGTTTTATTTGTTACAAAGCTTGAATTATCTACAAGCTGTACCGTAGAGCCGGACTGTGATATTGTATGTCACACTAAATTTTGACTATAAATCTTCTACCCAGATCCTACTAGGAGACTCTTCAAAACCAAATGTAAATAAATTATTTTATTTAGGTTGTTTACTAGGGACTAATTTTGCAGATAGATTTTCATTTAAACTTGATTTTAAACCGCTTTTTTCATAACTAATCCGTACTGATTTAACATGTTTATCAATTGCAGTATAATAGGCATGAGTAAGAGTGCCCTACTTGAAATTACCATCTGCCTTTATGCTCATCATCTTTAAATGTTATAATTTTTTAGATGTATTCACCAGTTTTAATCTGTCTTCCAGTTTCCATGGTGAAACATACATTTTTTCAACAGGATGGCAGTATTACCCTGAGTGTTAAGAAGCTCTTGATGTTTCAATTTTCATAACACAATTGCTTCCAGATTTTATTGAAGCCCCCACTTCCTGCAGCTATAGTATTTTTTTACCAGATATTTAGATCATTTCTTACTTGTGCACTGCCGAAAGGCTCTTGAGTTCAAGGCTCACTTATCAAGCTCTTGAAATTTCTCGGCTTAATCTTAATAGTTATTTTTTTAATTTGACTTAATTTTTTTTACTAGTGTAAGAAATTTGGGTTAATACCTCAATAATACCTCATACAGGAACTTCTAAATATTGGGAAGAAAAGACCAAGGACTGGCAGCAAAAGTGCAAGTAGAAGTCCTTCCAGCAGCCCATCTTTATCTAAGAAGAGGACGGCCGCTGCCAACACTGCTGCTGTGCCTGCCGCTGCAGTGCCACAGAGACCTCCTGGCTCTGACTCAGATACCAGTGATGGCTCTGACTCAGACTGGGATACCAGAGCCTCAAACAAGAAGAAAAAGAAAGTAAGGCACTATTCTGAAATGACTTCTGTTTCTTCTGAGAAAAATCAAATCATGACAGGTGGTTTTAGTAGTATGCTCTATTCATAGTAAACTTACTGGCATTATGGATCATTGTATTTATATTTTTAGGTTCTCACCTCTTGAATCTATCTGTAATCCTGCCATCCCCAATCCCGCCATCCCCAATCCCGCCATCCCCAATCCCGCCATCTCCGATCCCGCCATTGCAATCCCGCCATCCCACCGCCATCCCCAATCCCGCCATCCCCAATCCCGCCATCCCCAATCCCGCCATCTCCGATCCCGCCATTGCAATCCCTGATCCCACCGCCATCCCTAATTCCAACGCCATCCTCGATCCCACCGCCACTCCCGATCCCCCAGTCATCCCCAATTCCCCACCATTTCGAATCCAGTCATCATGCATGCAGTTCAAGAAAAAAATTCTTAAAAACTACTCAGCGTCTTTGAAGTTGACTGTGAAAGTATGGATTTAAAAATTACCTGTATTTCAATTTTTGATCCAATCTTTTCATCCCTTTGTTCCAATACTTTCCTATTCTCCCAGCAAGAATTGTATGAATTTCAGGTCCCGACAAGATAAGTATCCAGGATACCGGTACGTGCTTAAACAGCTTCAATATATTTTCGATGCTATGCTTCAAACATGCACACAAACGTGCTAAGTAGGGATGACAAATGCATAGTATATTGGGATCTTGATATTAACCCTCCTACTCATTCGTACGTGATCTCTTTTCATTTTTCGAATATACATGATTTTGTAAGCTATATCAATCCCATTTGACCATCACTTATTTATTGGTGAAAATCAAGTTTCGATCCTTGTACTCTAAATTTCGAATCCTCTGCAAAGTCTAAAACTTTTAGTTTGATTTTATTCATTATTTCATCATTTACAGCCTCTATCAAAATCGAGGAAGACTCGCATCACGCGAGCAGAATCTGAATCGGAACCAGAAGAAGGTGAGTTGTTGCATGAAGTAGTGTATATTTTAAATATTCTGGACTTTTTGGCAGTGTCCAATACTATCACTGCAAAATTGCATATATGCCCAAACCGGAGATATTATAAATTGTCCTGTCAGGATTTTATAATTATCATAAATTGTTAGGTTCCTTTTTGCAATTAATGAAACATGTATGCAAAATATATCGTAAATATCCACGTGATTTTTTTATGTTTCACAAACTAACTCCGACCAAGAGCTGAATGTTGTGAAGCAAGACTCGTACAAAGATGACAGCATATTTTGTCTTGCTAATTACGAATTACTTGAGATTTTCTGTCAATTGTCTTTTTTGACTGGCTTTTAAACCATTTATTTTTTGCTGAAAGTTTGCAAAACTATATGTCTTTTCCCATTCTATGTCTCTTCTATGTCTTGGTTTATTTAAAATTTAAGGGTTTTCAAGTAAAGAAAAGAAGCCCAATAATTATCTGCTGCTTCGCAGGAGAAGTGAGTGACAGCGGGAGTGGTGAAGGCAGCATCGACGGCGTCAGTGACGATGAGAAGGAGTTCGACGACGGGCTCGACGAGAACCTCATCGGCGACGAAGCTGACCGAGTGCGTCTCGAGCAGATGACGGAGAAGGAGCGAGAGCAAGAGCTCTTCAACAGAATCGAAAAAAGAGAAGCTCTAAAAACGCGATTTGATATCGAGAAAAAATTACGACTTGCTAAGAAGAAAGAGCAAAGGAAGAAGAAAGAACCTGATACACGACCTAAAGAGAAAGAAAAGGAGAAAGATAAGGATAAAGATAAAATTAACGAAGCTCTTGCTGTGATACCTTCTGACAGGAAGAAAACTCTGGAGGAGAACAAGGCTGGTCGGACTGAGAAGTTTGCTGCGTTGAAGGCTAAACGCGAGTACAAGAAGATGGCCGAGGAAAAAGAGCAAGAGAAGAAGAAGGCTGAAGAGCAGAAGAAGGAAGAAGAATATGTTGGCTCAGAGAGCGAAGGCAGCGAGAAGAGAAGCAAGCAGAAGCTGAACCCAAGTCAGGTGTTCAGCAGCGACGACGAGAGCGATCACAGCAGCGGCCGGTCCTCCAACAAGCCTGGACGACGGTCGCGGTCTTCGTCCTCTTCCTCCTCCAGCAGCGACTCCGACTCCAACAAGTCAGTGGTCGTGCTCATATTATGGCCGGTAAATTAAGCTATTCTCGAGCCTGCTACTTGCGTGCTAACAATCACCATATTTGGTTCAATATTGGTAAACATTTCGTTGTTATTTGCTTTATTTTCTTCATTTTACAGCGCTACTACTCCTTTAAACTCGGATAACGACCACACAGTGGGTTTCAAATTTCTTGAAACGTAAACCCAATGCGTAAATTTCGAAATCATTATAGAGTGCTATCTCCACGAATAATGAATGATCATTTCTTCCGTAGTGGTAATTTGTTCCAATGACAGGTCTATGTTACTTCTTTACTAAGTCAGCTCGCTGTTGTCTTCGTGTTGATAGTGGATTTCCACTTTACAACAAATTAAGCTTTTACTTCCTTCGAGCTGCCTGCATTTCATCTTGGAGATTTTTCAATTGGCATTTTCCCACAAAAGACCGATACACAGTTACTCAGCAGCTCTTATAGCAAGGCCCACAATCGTACGTAGTTTTTGATCGCATGACGCTCTCTTTTACGAACTGCATTTTTGTTGAACGCGAATACGTCATCAGTGCGGCCACTGCACCAGGAAACACCTCTCGCATTCCTCTTGAGAGCGGACATCTCCGTCCTGCTGTGTTGCAGTTCTCATCCTCCTCTTCTTGCTCTGGTTCTTCCCCAGCCTCCTCTTGTGAGGAGGAAGGAATTCACTACAAGAAAACAGCTCGTCGCTCATCCTCGGTCCATGCAGGTCCCTCTAGGTGACTTCACTTGTGGTGATTGCGTTCATTTCCCTCAAAATGGTTCAACTCCGTGTGGTTGTGACGTCAACTTCTGTCGCCTGTGACACTTCAAGAACACCCAGATTTTCTTCTCGTCCAAACTCCACGTGTTGTCTTAACGCCTGTGAAACGAGATGTTCTGCTAACTTCTTGGTGTGATCACCCCTGGATGCATTGATCTCGATTTCTCACTTATGACTTAACTGCAATGATTCTCACGTGATTGATAGTATGATCAAGCTAAATAAAGCACCTACCATCTTCATTCCTGAATTAGTAGCTCAGTGTGGGACTTTGCCTCAGTGTGCATTTTTTCCCATTAGAGGAATTTTTCCTCCCAGCATTGCCACCGCCTTCGTTTTGGTGTGTCATTGCTTGCCGCGCACCTTGTGTTTTATTTTTACCTCAAATTCAACCATTAGCTAATAATTGTTTAGTATTGGCATTATCCAGTCATACTCGACCTTTCCCATACACTGGGTCATGTTTGGGTCCAGACATAACATAACATTGTAATGTCGGCTCTGAAGAATAGGCCTGATGTAGCCTGTGGCCGATTCCTGTACTTTTCGTGACTTGTTCACAGGAAATCTAAAGTAGGTCCTTCCACCGGATCTTTCCAAACTGACGATATGTTTGAAATAGCTACTAGACTTTGAACGTAGGTATATTTCTCCACAACTTTATCTAGTCTGTTCTCTAACATGACCCAGATATTGTTGGCATTACCTTGGCTCAAAAATGGATGCCTATTACTCTAAATCCTATTAAATGCAGTGAATTTTAGGCGTTAAAGGCACTGCACAGCAGGTAACAAATATATTCGTTAAGCAATGAGTTTCTAATTATAATTCGATCGTATGAAGTTTCAATCAATGTTCTCATTCTGTTCTAGAGTGTTTGCTTAACGTATAGCCTTGACTACAGGTCTGACGTGAGTGACCCCGGACGTCGGTCTAACCGCGTCACTACCGTCACCAGCAAAGAGCAGCTCGAACGCATCCGCCTGTCCCGCTACAAGATGTCGCGCTACGTGCACTTGCCCATCTTCTCCAAAGCCATCATCGGCTGCTTTGTCAGGATTGGCATTGGCACCAACGGCAGTGTGCCTGTTTACAGGGTACGTACTTTACAGCATTGCATGCTTGTAGATATACACTAAGCAGTTGTTCAGCTTCTTGTGAAATTCTACGCCTTTCATAAAATTCATTTATCTTTTTTTAGCTTAAGAATAATTCACATTTATTTCTGCGTATGGCTTAATATTTGTTCCTAGAGATTGCCGACACTTTCTGGAGCAAAAAAGTTGCTTCTTTTGTGCTTTAATTTTTCAATAATTCAAGTGAACATTAGTTAAAATTTAATGCACTCATCGACCTAAGTTCAGGCAATGCAAATTTTTCCATAGCTGCTTAAGAGTTTCTCTGGTTGCTTTGGAGTTGAGGTTGACATTTAGTTGATATCTTAGTAGTTGCAATTATTACATTACTGCTCTTATCTATTATGTAGCTTATATGAACCATTATTCAACTCATTATATATGAACCATTTAGCTTGTATCCCCTTTTAACGCTGCATGCATTGAGGTTTTGCTTGAGTATAACCTTGTGCTTCAGGTGGCGGAGATCACTGAAGTGTGCGAGACGGCAAAGATTTACAACCTCGAGAAAACCAAAACCAACAAAGGCCTACGACTGCGTCATGGCAAGCAGGAGCGCGTGTTTAGGCTTGAGTTCATCAGCAACAGACCCTTCACCGACTCCGAGTACAATAAGTGGGTGGAAGCCTGCGCAACATATGAGGTGCCCTTGCCGACGCTGGAGACCCTCTCGAAGAAGGAGAAGGATATCAAGGATCTCTTGAGCTACCAGTACACAAATGAAGACATTGACACTGTAAGTAGAACATAAATAATTGCATATTAATTAATTTCGATCTAACAGTACATGAATGAAGACATCACCACTGTAAGTAGGACACGGATCAGTGCATCTCGAGCAATTTGGCTTGAAATTGGTGTACTTGCATATTGATTAACTTATCAATAGGCTACTTTTTAGCGCATTCTCTCATTTATGGAAAAAATGCACTATTGTGCTCGCCATGTCTGTCTGTCTGTCTGTCTGTCTGTCTGTCTGTCTGTCTGTCCGTCCGTCCGTCGGTGACCTGAAGTTTTCGTCGACGAGAAAATGCGCTATCTATCACTCACTGCAGTGAGTACTGAGTTATATTTTTTATAAACTGTAGGTCAGTTTATTACCCAATGATTGTTTTTACGATCATACCGTTGTTGTGTCGTTATTTAGTAATGTAGTTTCTAATGAGAGTTATGCTTTTTTTCCATCTCACTAGTTTCACGTTAAGTGCAATACAGGTAATTATTGCTTTTGTATACAGTTACTTCGACTTAGTTCATCCTAATGATTGCTATTGAGATATCAAAAGTTTGAGACTTCATTCTCAGATGACTTCCCTCTCCCGTCAAATTTTGGCTTTATCTATGTTATGTAGTTGTTGTGGTAGAATGTGAGATGCATCCATTAATGTAAAGTGATCTTGTATAGATGGTAAACGAGCGGCTGCGGTTCAACAAACGTCCTACGAACTTTGCTGTGGCTAAGACCGAGCTGCTTAAGAAGAGGGACATCGCACAACAGTCTGGAGATCAGGAGGTCAGCACAGTCCTTGCCAAGCAAGATTTAAAATATTCTCGCCATGGCCATTACTGTTGGAGGCTCAAATTTTTTTTACTGGAACTATGCATTTTGTTTAAATTAGTTCCTTGTTCAAATATAGTTCATAAAATTATTTTGAGTGCATATAATACAATCTTTTTTGTTCCCATCTTTACTCACGAGATGCTAGTACTGTTTCAACATGAGACTTGAAGACTCGAGGTTCTTTAAATTTGCAGACACGTGCTTTTATTGTTGGTTGTATACTTCATTTAAACAGTGGACATCATGGTGCGTTTGTGATCAGAATATTAAATATATCTATTTTTATTCCCTAAATTATCTGATGTGCAAATGATATGCATTCCTGTTTGTATGGTTAATGATGTCTCCTCGTTTGCACAGTCGATAATGAAGGTTATTGACGAGTTGGCGGAGTTAGACAACACGTCGACACGGCTGGACAAGCGGCGCACGGCAACCATATCTTCTATCCTCTACATCAACGAACGTAACAGGAAGGAGAATGTCATCAAGGCTGAAAAAGCCATCAAGGCAGAGGTGAACAACTCTTTGTATTTTTCTTGTGTTGTTAATTTTGATGTTCCCCTAGTCTTGGGCTCGCCAGGAAACCCGCGCTGAGCAGGAAAGCCGCCACCCGAGCCGGCTCGGATCAAAGCTGTGCGACGGATGTTATGACCGCCCGGAGTCTGGGTGCTGCCAGCTGGGGGCACTCAAGCAGAAGATGCTTGACGGTGTGGGGGAGTGCATTACATTGGGTGCATAGTGACCACAGCGGAGTCTGCTGAGTGCTGAGATGCACTCTGTCTCTGGGATGTAGGTAGCGAGCTACTCTGAAAATTATTTTTTCCACCCCACTGATTATTGCCGAGCCGGTTGTTGCAATTCTTATTAGGGGAATTTTAAACTTTTTTATATGCTCCTAAACTACGCCAGTTAAAAATTTTAAAAATTTTCTAATATAAGACGTTTTCATTTCATGCACGATTCCAGTTAATATCAATCTGACTTTTCAGTCCGATTTACGGAAAGGAGTGCGCGTTTCGGATCCATTCACTCGCCGCCAGACGCGCCCAACGATCGTCACCAAAGACATTCGGGCTCCAGACATGACGTCCGACGAGCGCTCCAAAGCCGCCGAGGATGAGCGCCGGCTTAAAGCCGAGCGCGAGTTGAAGAAAAAAGTGAGTCCTATGGACGTGAAGTTGAGATAATAATAACGATTATAAATGTGGAAGTTTGTATGAAGCTGTACACGTAACTATGTAGGTATTGACTTTGAGGTAAGTTAAAAGAGGCTGAAACAGTTGGCAGTGAACGACGAACTATGACAAACGCCGTAACTCGCTGTCTTGCGGGTGAAAGTTGACATGATCTTTCTATAGTAAGTTGAGTAGTTATAAATTTTCAAATTTTCATAATTTCTAGGAGGAAGAAGCTCAGCGTAAGAGGATTGAGGAAGAAAAGGCCAAAGAAGCTGAAAGGAAGCGGATACAAGAAGAGGACCTGTACGCAGCGCACGACTTCGACCTGAACATCGACCTGGGACCTGATATGCCTGGTGCGTCATAATCTAATGCTTTGTATTTTTATTCTACGTTGGACATCTCTTCTTGTGTGAAGTTTTTATTTTTATTGTAAATTATTTAGTAGACTTACAGGCCTCTATTTACGATAATGTAATGGAGCATTAATTCATTCATATCCTAGTGCCGACCTATTCTATTTTGTTTAATGGAAACCTTATCATAAAATTGGCTACCGCCACCTTCAATTGTTTACAAGTTCAAAATGTTCCGGGAGAAGCTTCTCTGACCTTCTCTGTCTCGTCAATTTGTAATTATTAAGCTAACCTCAAAGCTCTGCCAAAGCTCCAGACTTAACAGCTTTCGTGAAAGCAAAACTGCTGCAGAGTTTTTCGAAAAGTATCCCGCCTGTGCCCATGCATTTCATCGATTAACTTAAATCAAGCTGTCAATTTAGTGGCAGGAATGCAATTATAGATTCCTCTGTTGATCATCATCGTTCTGTGCTTCAAAACTTCCTTTCCAAAGCAGAGTTTAGACATCCATTACGAAAGAAGATTGCGGATTGAGATGCAAAACTAGTATAAAAAATTACTGCGGCTAATGATAATTTGCTTTAATATACTGAGCAAATTCACTGAAGATCAAAGATTTGTACTTGAGCGCAGGGAACCACTGTAAAATATTCTTCATATAGACCCTTGTTTTAATAACTGCTCGTTGTGTGCAGTGGTTTCCTCAACGCCGGCAGCGCCTGGTCGCAGCAACGGCGCAGCGGCCGCCCTAAATGGCTCAGCAGCTCCGACCCCCAAGCGTTCCTTAAACCTCGAGGAATACAAGAAGAAAAAAGGCCTACTTTGAGCTGTTCAGCTCCCTTAGGCCATTAGCTTCTAGAGGGTTAGCAGTCGTTTGAATTTGTCGCGTTTCATTACGAGAGTTGTTTACTTGGCCCAGCTCGTCGTGACATAAAACTGATCAATTTCGAGCGTGAAGCTTAGTTATGTACATAAAACATCGCTAGGAGAACTTGTCTAAAACGCGAGTTTCTGCGTTTGAGGCAGCTTCTACGAACGAAGTGATTTGACTGCAAACTAATATTTAATAAGTAGACCGTAACTCTGCATACCCTTTATCTTGAACACGACCCAGTTCCAGCTTCCTGCATGACAATTATCGAGTGATAATTCCTGTTTTTGCTGCGGTAGAAATGCTTTTGAAATTTTGCTTTTGTTACAAATCCTTGAGAACCTTTGTACTTTCTAAACAGATGATTTAACTCATAAATTAATTTAGAAACCCCGCGCTGGCTGCGAAATTTCAATTAAAGATCCAGGTGATTTTGCACGATCATTTCAGTCCGTCTCCTGAATAGTTTTATTATATTTCAATAATTTTTGGTCCCCGCACTTTTGTTTCAATTACGGAATAAAATGATCCCACTAATCCACATACGTAAACACGATCACCACCTGGCGGACTGCAAGCGTTTGCCCCAATATACTCTGGTGTTAGCGTACTTCGTAGGAATAGCGCTCTACTAGGTGGACATTTTTCCCCTTACGAGACCATTTTGGTTCACCTAACTCTTACAGATCCTTTAGCGTTGTGCTAAGATTGGTTTTTATGTACAAATTTGAATATATCTTTGTATGCATAATTCAATTAATTTAGGGATGAAAATTATTATTTATTAAATTTAAAGCGCACGTAAAATCTTCAACTTGATTCTATGTCAAGTTGGACGTTCGCTGCAGTGCTGGCTGGCATCGTTTCATTCTTTCATGCGTTTGGAGCTTCCCTAATCTGAGGTGTCGAGGTAACTTCGAAACTACTCCGCGCTCCGGGAATGATCTCAAATGCTAATGGATTTTAGTTACAATTTGAGAGTAACTACCGCACTAAGGCTCCGAGTGACGGTTTGTTACTAGTCAATTTGACAAGATGCTCCCACAATTGGGTTCGTTCAACCATGGGTAACAATTTCTGTTGAGATGAATATCATGTTAACAAATTTTCCTTGGTTAAGAATTATGTAAAAGTTTATAGGAACTCGCATAGTTGACCGTAAATTACAACTGGGTGGTACGGGCCGTTAATTTCGTCTTTTCATCAGAGCTTCTTGGGTGGCGGGATATAATGAATTTATCAGGCAACACTCGGGTCTGGGTGCGTCATCTCTATATATTCTTGTTGTTGAAGACTTCGACTGGATTAGGTGCGGAATATTCGTGCGTCTAGCCAAGAGAACAGCTTTGTTGTTCCTACGGCTTGAATACCCGGATATTTGTAATTAATTTTCAGATTTTGTGTTACGAGTCCCAATGAATTACGATCGTTGAGCTCGACGCTAAATAGCTCATAAGCAAGTATCTTTAAGTTATTTATGAATTTTAGTCTTCCGCAACTGTTCAGATGTTCTCATTCTCCTGCAACGTGATAATCGGTTGAGATTTCTTCTTGCCTCTAATTTAGAATCAGCTGAATTTATTGTGAAACGGCTTGTGTACGATCGATTTAATTCACAAATTTTTTTGTTTTATTAGCTTTGTTGGTTCCATTCCAGCAGAACGTAGCTGTAATTACTGAAAATTTTCAATGGAACTTCTGCCACAATTTTATTTTTAAAGATAGAAAAATTAATTGTTGTTGGTCAATCGAATTCCTTGTCTTGTCTCACTGCTGCTGGCTTGATCGTATTCCTGTGTTGACGAATTCCGGTTCAACGTTCGCGAGTTGAGAGAAAACAGTAAATGAACAAATCGTCAACTATTCTTTCATTACCTTTTATTTGATTTCTAGGTCGCTCATTGCAGTGGTGTTTGAATATTACAGTGATCTGTTCTGCGTCGATTTGCTAAAGCGTTTGCTGATACATGTCTACTAAATTATTTATATTAAATACATGTCTACTAAACAGAGCAACGGTTGTTGCAGTTTCTAACCTAGAAGCCCGCGTCAGTTTAGGACTCGCCTCTACTAACGAGTCTTGGCTCCCTGGAATGCCTTAGATTGCACTCAGACAAATAAATGGGTCATGTTGCCGAGATACGGGAACGCTTTCATACCCACAGTACGAGCAACGAGGGAACATTATCACTGATACGCCCTTATACTGGGTCAGGATGACCCACATAGGGGCAAAAAGTGCATGAAATTTTTGGACGAAGTCTCAGTTCTTAGTGTGAGGAAGAACTTAGTGGTGTGGGCAAAAGTAAAAGTGCATGTCGTATATACATACAGTGTATCGTGTAGCCAGAGCTGGGCAGCGCTACTTTGAAATGTAGCGGCCGCTACCGCTACATGCTCTAAATGTAGTGGGCACTACCGCTACAATTGCTTAAATGTAGCGCCGCTACCGCTACATGCTCGAAATGTAGCGGGCGCTACGGCTACACTCACCAGATTGTAGCGGGCGCTACCGCTACAGTAAAATGTAGCGCCGCTACATTAGCCGCTATAATGGCCAAAATTATTGGAAATCTCTAAATATTTATTGTTCTGCTATTGGGATTTACTGATAAACATTTAATGCTAATAAAACATTTTCAAACATATTAATGCAATTTTATTGCAATTAACCTAACCGAACTAGTACGGGTTAGATACAGTAAATAAAAGTTACAGTTATTTCTATGTTTTACCTTCCCTACATGGATGTCTACTTTAATCCACCAATCTCAAAAATTATCCACATATACATATAAAAAATCAGTCGTATTTGTATATATATGTGGATTAATTTTTAGATTGGTAGATTAAAGTAGACAACCATATAGGGAAGATGGAACCTTAAAATAACTGTGTAAAAATAACTAAGCAAACTGGAACAAGAAAAAATACCTGTAAGTGGTAACTGGTAACAACTTAACAAGTAACAACTAACATGTTGACACTAGTAACAGGCTGAGGTTGACAACATTACACCGAAATCTTTCGTACAGTTATTAATTATATTATTTATATTGTAATTTATATTATGTATGTATCATGCTGGTTTTTAAATAATATTTAATACTATTAAGTAAAATCTAAAGGCTTTATCTATAAATGTAGCGGTAGCGCTGTAACGGCAAAACCCCGTATCGCTGCTTAAATATGTAGCGGGCGCTACCGCTACCGCTACAATTGCTTAAATGTAGCGCCGCTACTGAAAACGTAGCGGTCGCTAGTAGCGGCCGCTACACGTAGCGCGCTACTGCCCACCTCTGCAGATACAGCTCTCATAGTAAGATCAGTTATCACTAAATTTGTTCTTGTGGTTGTATCTAGGAAATGTAGTCGTATGAAAAAGATGTCACTTGCATTAACGTATACATCAATACTTAAACTTGTACATCAATTCTTAAACGTGATGTTTGTGACTAGGTTTTAAGAAAACTGAGCTAAATCTCACGTTATGAGCACGCTCGAGAATGAATGCTGCGCTACAGCAGCAATTCGTGCAGAAAACTATCAAGGCTGAGCAAGCCGCGGCACTCCAAAGAAAGGCTTCGTAGAGCACTGAGCGTGAAGCGCAGCTCGTTGTGGCAAGAAAAAAAGTGTCCAGTAGTCGTCGCTATCCCATTTCTCTCGGTACTCCTGATAAAACTGAGTCCGTGACTGTCACTGAAGATGTTCTTGGTTTTGTTTAACTTTCCCTGAGCTCGTCGCTCTCGACACTTTCGCTTCTCACAGAAATTGCCGACTTTGATCGAGTGATGTAACTCCCTTTGCTGATTTCTACGTAAGTGGGAAAATATCGCGGTTGATGTTTACTAGAAGATCACTAAAATTAGTATAAATTGCAGTTAAACACCTATAAATATCAGATGACATTTGCGTTTTCTTCTACGGCTGTGTCGTGCTAAGCGGTTTGGTGACATGAATTTTAGGAGTAATTTTCTTCTGAATATCAAGAACCACGAAGAGAAGGATTTGTTTTCAAGCTTCCTCGACCAGTTTTCATGAACAAGACCAACGATACGGTGAAGGTCAATGTCTCCTCACCGACAGTTAACGCGACTCAGTCAAACAGTTGTATATTAGTATATCCTTGAACATTCACAAATGTTAATCGTTTTCTATTAAATTTAAACATAGGTATGGTTTTTACCTGTTTGTCAGATTATACTGAACTTTCCTAGAAAGGCTAGAATGAACTGACGTTCTTCGATCGCCCCTGTCTCTGCAGCGTACCTACAGTTCTCCTCTGCTCGTATATCCAGAATATAACACGAAACTGACGGGTTTTTGGTAGATATATGTATATGTATAAAGAGCTGGCGATCTAAGATCGCGTTTGCTAGCTGGACACGACGGCTGCGGCTCGTCGCTGTCTTCAGGGAAAAAAACGAAAAAATGTCTTCACATGAATGGATCTTCCCTTGTTGCACGGCTCCAATTTTACGTCACAGGAAAAATTCTTTATTGAATGTATGGAACTTATTGCATGATGTGATGATGATAGCCGCCACGCGAGCTAAGCGGTAACAAAAAGAAAATGCTTTTATGTTGGCGAAGAAAATGCTTTTAAGTTGCACCATCTGTTGTAAGATATCGTTTAGTGTTGTATCCGTTGCTTATGTCAACTCAAAATTAGCAATTTCTTCGCGATGGAACCAGCATTTTTCATAGTAATATAATTACCAATGACCGGAATACCATCTATATCATTCTACTTCTTTAACTACAGCTGTTTGGATAAGCAAGAGGTCAAGACAGATCCAGCATCGACTCGCACTATCAGAGACCATGTGTTCGGGGTCTGCGGATTTTGCAAGCATCACTGCATGCCACGCTCTCTCTGGGTCAAAGATGTCGGCCTGGGTCAGCGTGAAGGCTACAAGTTTCTTAGTGAGAAGCTGTCAGTAACTTTGGTCGCTGCCAATCTAATGTTCCAGCATCCAACTACAGAACTACTTGTAACTATCCAAATTATTTCTATAATCTCAAGTTACTTTATCTTCCTACGCATTTCTTTTGTTTTTGGTTGAAATCTTTTTGGGTAAATTCATAAACGGCTTCGTGTTTAACATTGCCTCGATCGCGGGTGTTGATTCAAGGTTATTTATTTAACTTTCCTTTATCGAACAGAATAGAGGTACAAATGTACGCTAGGTATGATTATGCAGCCTGAAGAGAATTAAATGTCGAAATCGGCCAGCAGAAAATAACAACTCGAATGATATTACATAATTACAGGATAAACACAGCGTTGTCACTGGACCATTGCAGCAAACTTTAGGCAGGACAAGAAAATACTTTCCACGGTTCTTGTCCAATAGTACGAGAGATAAGTCGAGCGCTGAGGCTGCGTGCCCGTCAGCGGCTGTCGGGGGCAGGGCAGCGACAGCGGCCCGTTGCTCTGACCCACAATCTCAGTTGCTCCTGTGAACCCTCCACTGCACACGAACAGGCAATAAAAAATTTTAGGGGGAGTTAGGAATTTAAAAAAAAATGCCATAACTGAATTAGCAGTACTGGGACATTAATTAAGTGCGAATTGCTTGTCTTGGAGCGCTAGCTGAATTTTTGGCCACTTTTCTATTATTTCTTTATACGTAAGAAATTTTATCATCCAGTCCTGAGATGGTGAAAGAAAAAAACTTACAAATATCGGTCAGTTTTAACTACCATTCTCTGTCACACATTCGATCAATGGTTTTTTAATGTATAATTGTAAATCAAGATTGTCCGTGTAGTTTTGTTCCTTAAAGGGCCAAATAGTCGTACTTAAATCTCTGATATTTCGACAATCCGTAATTGTGATGATTGGGAACTCATACCAAACATATTTTTCAAGTCTGCTAAAGTATCATTTGTTCTGAAGACTCAACAGACCTGCAAGAAGGGTGTTGACGTCCGAGCCTCGTGCTGATGACTCGCCAGGTTCGCTGCGCCGTGTAAGCTTAACGGTCGCGCGGGCTCAGCGTCGTCTCGGGGCATCGCTTTTATGGCGGAGCTACGCCCGATCGACGCCTCGCGTCCACCGTTAGTTTCAGAATAGTTTATTTCCTTTAGAGTGATTGCCTGACTGGGTACTAATACCGAAACATCTTTTTCGAGTTGTTTAAAGAAAAATTTACGAAATAAAATCATTATCATTCCTTATCTGAGAGAATCATTTATTACATTCTGCCCACAAAGCGGGATGCTCGCAGCGGGGTGAGCAGCTCAACGCTCCGAAGCACAGTTATACTTTGTCCGTTAATCCCGGGCGCTTTCTGCCCAACCCTTTGGAATGATCATTGATTATCAACCTGATCCGTTGATAGCGCGTCACAAATAAATCACTTCCACGGAAGACTCTTATTTACTTAGTCGACTTTCTTTGAATATACCTAACTGAAATTTATTATTCTGGTTCCAGGCCATTTTTCCATGCTGACTTTTGTTTTTCAGAAAAAATTCGTCCATAATGCGGTCTTATATTTCTCAAAGATGTATTCAAATTCATTCAATAGAAGCTTCAAATAATTGCTTCATTCAGCGTTCCAGTGGATGAATATATACCGTAGACGCGAATGCCAATAATTGGCAATTATATATACGCTCTGACTGAGCGGATAATTTCCGTCAAGAAAATAACTCAGGCTCTCGCGTATCATCTTGGCCGTTGAACCATAAAAGCCCCAACAGGTAGTAAATGGTCTTCCTGTCCGCCCAGCCCCTTGGTTTATAAAAGTATGATCTTCTTAGAAGTAATCTTCCTCTAGTCCAATACTGAGAGCTCTTAATTTGATTTTTCTCGGAGGCAAATATGAAGCTGGCCGTTTGATAAATGATTT